ATTTCCAGCTTTCACTTTTTAACAACAGTTAAGCTTGCCAGAGAAAAAAAATCACCAGCTGAGGTTTTGAGGCTGCCATTCTTTTGACTGTTTCGGTCTGAACTGAATCACATTAAAACTAACTGGGTTTTGTTTGGTAGGTTTTTGCTTCAAGTTCTAATTCTGATCTGTTCCTGAATCTCATTAAACATACAGCTACCCAAATGCTTGCACTGGACAAACGGATGTTAACAGATGAAGACAGGATTGCATCTTTGGGCTTCCTTATACTAACATAACATGATGTGAAATACGGTCTATCTATCAGCTCTCCTAGCCATTTCACTGTTGGTCCTAGGAGAATTCAGAAAAAACCTCCTTTTCATATATGGAGTACCCCCGTATTCCCAAGCAGAAAGAATTCTCCAGTCTTGTAAGATAAACTGATAGGAGACTGCCACGTATGTGTACATCGTATACATTTGCACCAGACTTTTCAAATTCAGCACTAACATGGCCTGTGCAGGTACTCACCTTTCATTAATGCTTTCAGCCCGGAGCGTATAGACTCTGTCAATGTGGGAGATATGGAAGATGGGCTCATCTCCAGAAGGGTCTGTGGGCAATTTTACTAGTACCTCATTTAGAAAAATGGGCTGCAAAACATTAGGCAAAGCTGGAGTTCTGCTGCACAGTATCCAAACAGATGCATTCAACACAGAGCAATTTACAACAGATTTATCTTGTGCCTGCAGTATCTTTCCCCTTCTGCCTGCCTCCCATCTTTCTTCAGATATGTCATTTTTTGAATTTTCTTATTATCAAAGATATAGGTGCCTCCAAAGTCTGGGAACATTTCTCCTGAAGTAAGAAACCAGCCTCATTAAGCATAGCAATCTCTCCTTTCCCACAAAGAGCAGGAAACACTGCTCTCCACATCACTCCCTGACACATGTGACCTCTGTTGAAGAGGTTGTTTCCGCAAAACTTCAAAAGCATCTTTTCTTATCTCGCTAAAGCAAGCAACCAGCTTTCTCATCATCAGTCCCTGGAATCCCCAGCATATGCTAAAGCTTTCATACCTCTTCTATATAAAGGCTATTGCCTGCACGTACAGTATGGGAGCTGCTGCCTGCTATACGCACTGTTAGCATACAGCCATCCTAATTGCCATTTCAGAGTGGTACTTACAGTTTTGTACATTTTGTATTGCAGATTAGACTTGGGGCTGAAGACCTTGTCTGTGCCAGAAGAGCCAAGAGGTTTTATGATCTGAGTCAGGAGGAGGAAATCGTTGAACAGAAAGCCATACAGTTCCTTGTTACTCTTGGCTTTATAAAGTTTCCCACTGTGCAGAAACTTGCGTGGTCCCAAGCAGTTTGTAACAGAATTAAATACGAGTTGCTGCAAAAAGTAGAAGAAGAACAACAACGCACTGTATAAAGTAAAACAATCGAGGTTCCCCTGAAAGAGATCAAATACAGTTTTGAGTCCTGACATTGGTTTTAATTTGTGTCACAGGGGTGATGAGCAATGTCTCTGTCTTGCGCATGATAAGCAGTGCAAGTCATAGAAATGCTACATGAAAATTAACTTTAGGCAGCTCATCACTTGCATGGGGCATGGCCTGAACAGTCAGAGAAGAGCCAAAAGCATTTGTGCCTCCTTTGGAGTTTCTCTGTCTCGTGCATGCATCTCTGTGAGTGGAACTGAGCTGATGACGACTTGTCCTGGATTAGCAGCAGTTACACAAATGGCACCTCTGAATGCTGAGCTTTCTTAACAAGGCCTGGATTTCTGAATTGTGTTTGATTTTCACCAATTAAAATATACCAAAGTAATTCCAGATGGCCTGCCTTTGGGTACCCATGATACATGGAGTTAGAGGACAGCTGCTGACCAGTGGCTGGAACTGGCAGAATTTAAGACTCACCTGGAGGTTTTTACCAGATGAGTAGAGGCTTGCCCTTTCCTAAAATGTCATTTTCATGTTTATTTTTACTAGGTGATGGTATGGCTCTTGGCATCGTAGATTGCCAGACAGATAGATCTGGAGTGGCTCCTTTTAGCGATTACAAACATTTCAGTCAGAAAACTGGGGAGGGATTCAAGGCTGCTACTGGCATTACTGCATCAGCAAGCAGCCAGTTTGTTTTTCAGGTGATATTTTTGGTGTTCTAGGTCAAGACATCATGTACAAAAGATAAAAGCAGCCATCTTCCTTCAGGCTGTAGTTATAAGACAGTTGTATGTGACTTTGACCCTTCTGAAATTGTCATACCTGTCTGAAACAGATTTCATAAGATGAAATGCAATGTTTGCCGGTTTATAAACCGACCAGTGCTTTTTTTTTTTTTTCTTTAAATCTTCTAGAACTGAAAACTTAACACGTGCTGTGAAAATCAAGTTGTGATCTGTCTGCCTCTATTATCTTGATCAATAATAGAGAGGCCATAAAAATGTCTTCCATCCTTTTGCAGGATATACTGACACAATATTTCCTTTGTAGTTTCAGGAGAGAAGCTTAGCATGTTACCTTAAAAAATAATATGCGATGGTAGGCAGTGATTCTCTCTGTAAAGTCTTGAGAGAGACTTGATCAGTATTCTTGAGTTTCCAAAATGCATACAAAGTTTTATCACAAAAAAATATTTTCTGTGATTAAAGCACTCCAGGATGGTCGGGTATAGCTTCAGGATGAGATACAGCAGTACAATAACCACTGTATTACAAAGAGCTACGAAACCAGAAAGTTGTGGTTGAAAATTGCAGCACTGAACCTGGCACTAGCCCAGAGGCAGGCAACTAAAGCAGCATTTATTATATAGAAGGCAATAACACAAGCAGCAAAAAGGATTACGTGCAGGAGTGAAAGGGAGCCAAAGAAAGATGAAAATAAAGGACTGAGGACTATATGACTTGATTAATTACACTGTTTGTCCCCTGATGCAGTGCAATAAGTGAGCCATGGTTTCTTCCCCACCGGCAGCGAAGTGCACCCACGTTTGCATTACTCCAGATAGAACTTTTTTTTTTTTTTTTACCTCCGACAGGCCTTCACACTGAACATGAGCCTGGATCCACTCCAGCCTATCTGAATTCTCCTTCTCCCGCACTCCTTCATTTACTTGTGAACATAATTCTTCTGCTTTCTCAAGAGCATGCTTCAAGTGACTGTGGTCTGGATGGTTTTCAGGAGTGTTTTCTATTATCTATAGATAAATAAAATACATTAGCCTTTTCTGTTATCTGCAGTTAAAATGTATTTATACTGTCAGCCCCACACCACTGTTTTATTTCTTTATTTTCACCAGAGCCAGCCAGCATATTTCAAATTTATTTTCCTCCCTGACAAACATGAAAAATAGGAGACAAAGTCACAATCTGTTTGTGAACAGCTGAAATGAATGCCTGCCTGCAGAGCCTTTACATTAGTACACTGCTCACTCTTCTGACATAAATACGCAAATTCCAGACATAAACGGAAAAATATCCATAACTGTTTAAGGAATCTCTTAAATGTCAGTATCCAATTTACAATTCTTTCCTGCGAAAGTCTTGGGCCAAGTTCAATAACATTATTCAGGATGGTAAGCATTAGGCAGCAAATGAAAGTTAGGAAAGGGTCGTAAGTCATCCTGCAATGTAAGCTGCGCACTAAGGTAACTTGCAACAATTTGACACTCCGGCTTGCAGACCGAATGTTTTTTACCTGAATTTTAAAGTTTTCATTCAGCATTTACTGCCTTCTGGTTCCTTGTGTGCACGTTTCATCACTCTTTCTGACGGAAATCCAGAGTCATTTTGCTGAAGCCAAATGAGTTACCACATTAGCTCTAAGTGGGATCAAACATAAAAGGATACCCCACATTCCCTAGCACTTCAGATATCTAACAGCGACAAAGCTTGACAAAAATAGGGTAACTACCCTGCAATTAAGCTATAAGCAAAGCAGCATCAAAAACATAATCTTTGCAAAAGAACGTACATTTTTAATTATTAGTGGGTATCTTGTTACCCGTTGCATAGGCTTTAGTAGAAAACTTGATAGTGGCATTCCTTTACAGCGAGGATCCATTGCTAACCTCTGAAACATTGGAGAGGTAAAATGGTGTTAGTCAGTTTGTTTAAAACGCTGCAAAGTTACCTCCTCCAAGAAAAAAAAAAAAAAAAAAAAAGGTAAGGCAACAAATGAACGCCATGCCTCAGCTAAATCTGTTCTTAGATCACAAACAATGTCAGTGCAGTAGAATTTATTGGTTTTTTTAGAACATATTCTTCACACGCCTTGCCTGTACAAGAGAAGGGACTTTTCTTACTGTCCCAGCATTTTACAGCAAAACCATTATCAAACAAAATATTTTACGGCTCTATGGTTGTTTGAAAAAATGTATTCCTTCAATGAAAACATGTACTCCTTCAACGTGTGCTCAAGTCTGAATATTCTTCATTCTAGCCCAACACAGAGCACCATCTGAGACTATGTGTTGCAAATCAGCGAAACAATGAGCTAAATTTATGGTGTACAAATTCGTGGTGATTGCTTCTTTTCTTACTTTAACAAACTCCTTGAACTCGGGGACTTCATCCGTTTTCTGCTGGATGAGTGCTGCCCCGTTGAGCTGGCAGCTACAGAACCGAATGTAAGGCTGCATGTGTGGAAGCTGAGCTGTCAGTATGTCACCAATCATTTTCACTGGCATCTTCTCTCCAGACATCTTCTTGCGCACACGCAAAGCCCTAAACAGGAAAAGGTCATGTGTGTTTTATAAGTAGACCACTGAAGAATGATTCCTCATTTATGAAATAAATGGTTTGATTCTTATTCATTATTGAAATAAAGAGACCCCTGAACAATAAATAGATCAGCCACTAGATTTACTGCATATTGTAAGAATACGGTAATCAAGATTGCACCCTCAGGCAACAACATTTTTCCCTCTTCTGGTCACTGAACTGTTATTTGACGTTAACTTAATGCAATGCCAGATCAGACACAATATAAAAAGGAATGTAATTTCCGTTTTTATTAGTTTAAGAAGGAGAACAACAGATATGTTCTTGAATAAGGGATAAAAACCTTACCACTACTTTAAACTCAAAGCTACTTCTAGTTTTTAGCCTGGTTTCCCAAGGAAAGGAGGTTTATTGTCATTGAGCTGCCTGCATTTGTCCTACCACTGTCATAACTTTCCAACTTGTGGGCCATTTGCAAATACATTTTACAAAAATGGAGGTATCTCCAAGTTACGGACCTGATGAGCTTAAGGGCCTTTTACAAACTAAATTATTATAAAATATAAGTTCAATGAAAATTAGCAGCTCAGTAGGGAAACAAGGAACTTTACTAATCCTCTTGCTTATGCAGATGCCAATTTAACTCCATCCTTACTCAGTTTCTCTGGCAATAACTAGATGAGCAACCTGCGTGCACGTGCCTCCAAACGCTCCACAGCATTTACTGTCTTGCTGAAGCAGTAGGGATGGGTGAGAAGGATGCAAGTAGGAGGACTGGATCCATCAGAGGCCACAGAGAATGAAGGGAGAAATAAGGGTACTTGCACTGCGTGGAGTTTCATGGTAGAGAGTTGGGGTTGCAGTACTTGGAGACTCTGGAAGGAAGGGTGCTGGGTACACTGGACACAAATCCATAGGAAACCAGGCGTTGTTGGCACTGTTGCTTACAAAACAGTTCAGCCAGGTGCTATAAGCCTACAGTAACTAAAGAAATGCATCAGCTAACTCAGAATAAGGGAGGCAGAGGCTGTTGTGCCTTGTTTTGCATTCGCAGATAATAGGACTGGAACTGGGCTGTGACAGAAGAAGAAAAAGTCTGTGACAGGACTGTAGGTACCCTTAGCAGGCACTGCTCTTCAGGAGAGGTTGATCTTGCCTCCTGGAGCACATGTACACCAAGAGCAAAGTAAGGAAATACTGGTTTTTTCTCAACAACAACAAATATCAAACATTGTTAATATTGTGCTTTTTCCAACAAGGAAAAATGCATGGCCTTTTTGGTCACTACTTGCATAAGTGGCAAATATTTTCATGCAGCTAAAAGGAGAAGCAGGGGGGAGGTCCATGGTTTTGTTATTGCTAAGTATGGGGGGAAATAAAAACAAACTTACTTCAGTAGTTTTATATTGCACATAATCAGCTCCTTCCAATTAACAAAAATCATAGCAACTTCCTTTTCTGTTAGCAGCTCAGATTCCATTAGTGGTTTCTGGAAGATCTATAGATTCAGAAAATAAAGCAATTTAGAAAGTATATGTTAAGTATAATCAAAGTGACTAAGACTCGTGATGCTTGCTTCCTTAGTCTGGAGGTGAGAAAATCAGAGTAGTACTTGATGCTCAGTGGAACAGACTTCAAACATGCGCTGTGCCCTAGAGATCCATAGTGTTCGCTGATAATATGTTTGTGAGCAGCATATGGCTTTAAAAGAGACTACTCTAAATTTGTGTTGGTGGTGTTCATTATGACCTGGATAATCTGTTTGAAACTTGGGAATTTTAGTGAGAGGTGTCCTGCAAAATATCCCAGGATTACTTTGATAATACAACTTAAAATACATTTTACTTTGGACTCTTTCATGGAACTTCTGATTTATCTCATAGGTCTCAGGTTTGCGAATCTTGACCTTTTTTTTTCAAAAAAGGGCTTTCCCTCTCTGTCAAAAGAATTGTGCAGGTCAGTTGCCTGGATGAATTCCCTTTTTTTCCACATAAGAGATGCACCTTGTAATATCTAAAGAAAACCAGAGTAAGTGATAACTAAGTGCCACTGTAAACACAGAAACTGGCACATAAAGTGCTTCAAGCTTTAAGAACTTACACATGAGAAATAAACTTTCAAAATCAGGAGTGAAAAGGGTTTACTAGCATGATACTTTAAACATCAGTGTTTTGGTAACAGTAACACAAGGGCTTAGCATTAGTTGCACCCACACACACCCATATATGCATATATCTCTAAATATAGCTATAGATATAGATACAGATATATATATATATATGAGAAAAATTAATACAGATCATCCCGAGGAAGTCAAACACAGCAGTGATATGAGTTTGCACAGTGACATTATTGATCCAATTTACTTTAAAAAGATGAGTGATTAAACCCTGCTCCTAAAGCTGCTGTGCTCTCTTACCTCTGTGACCAGCTGCAGATCATTTACATAGTTCTCTTCCGTGACAATGAGCTCATGGATGTATCCCTGCCTTTTTCTTTCGGTAGGCGTCAACATATCAAGAAGATGCAAGTCTGCACACCCTGAAAAACACAAAAGGATCCTAGATCTTACTCACCGTCACTTGCAAATTGATTCAGATCTGCAGCAGTTCCAATAACGCTTAAGGAACAGTAACTGCTGCCTGTTCACTTAATTCACATGTAATGGCACAACACTAACAATGCTTCATCTCTTCATACTCAAAACATTGCATTTAACACCTTTTTAAAAAAAAAAATCAAGCCATTTCTAAGTGATAACTTTTCTCTGGTGGCAAAGCTTAAAAGTCCTTTCTCACTCCTACCAGCCCATTTCCAACCCCACTCCAAAATTCACTGTCCCCTTTAGTTGTGTCATTCAACTGGAACCACACTGTCCGACAAATCCCCAAATGGATGACCATTAGTAAAAAAGGGGACAAAGACTTCACCTGTTACTACTGACAGAGAAAATGCAGAGATATCCTAAAATGGAACAGAATTAGGAGAGAGTGCTACAGTGACCTTAACGCTCTGACGGGCACTTTGGAGTTACATATAAGCCCTCAGTTTATTGACATTCTAAATTCAAGGTTCACCTTTATCCTTCTAGTCAAAGTAGGCATCCTAACCAAGAAGGTACTGCAGAACTTTACTTTTTCACACTTCAATTAAAAATTGCTTCTAAATATTTGAAGGACTTGAGACAGAACACATGAAGTTCAGCGGAGATCGCTCCACAGATTTCACTAATTTATGGGCCAAGACAAAGAGGATCATTATTGTAGTTCTTTAAAAGCATAGGAAAAGTTTGTAACTAAGAACTCGTCTTCCACCACTTTTGTCCTTCAATGTTTGCAAACCACCTCCTTTTTGCTTATCCTGTGTAGATGCTAGAGTATTTGTATAAATTCTGGAAACTCACATTTTATTTTCTGTTCTGAATTTGAACAGAACATTGTCCTGGGTCCAGCTGGGATAGGGTTAATTCTTCACAGAAGCTGGGAGTTGGGCATAGCCGGATATTCGATACCATGCTGACGTCATGCCCGGGATATAAGGGGAAGCTAGCCGGGAGAGGGGTCTCTTTTGTGAAGCTCGTGGTGGTGAGATTTTCATTGTATCAGTGTTTCCATTGTACTCTATATACTGTCTTATTGTTATATTCTCCTTTCTTTGGTTTTCCTCGTGTGGTATTATTAAAAATCTGTCGTTATCTCAACTCACGAAGTTCCACTTTTTTTCCTATCCCTCCCCATTTTACCGGGAGGGGAGTGGGAGGGGGGAGGCGGTGTTGCGACCACGTGGTGGTGGTGGTCCTGACACCAAGACAGCATCTAATTACTTTTTTTCTGTAAGCCAGTATTTTTCAGCTGAGCTTAATTAAATTCTTCTGGGACTGGCAAGCACAGTGTTTCCTTTTTTTCCTTCCTTTTTTAAAACTATTTTTATTACTTTTCTGCATAAAATAAAATGCATTTCAAAAAGCAAAAGCAATTTCAAACACATTGAAAACATCTTGCTTTAAAAATGCACTGTTTACAACTATTTCTACACAACCAAATTCTTCCGTTTAATTCTTTCCCTTACTCCTCAGCGAAGTACGGGCAAATTTGGTATATTCCTCATGGTAACAAGCTTTCCTTACGGAAAACATTCTGATTGAAAAATATTCAAGGGGATCTTCACTTCATGAGGTTTAAAATGCTCAAGGCCTTTTATTACGTTCTTCACCAGCATCAACAATGACACCAACCTACTGAAATCTGATGGATGGTTTTAGATCAGATGTTCACATATGCTTTCACAGAGTGAACCACTACTGCTCCTGATCACATCACACCCTTCTTTGGGTGTGATCACATCAGTTCTTTGCATATAAAATTAATACTGAGATAGTATTAAATGCATTTTAGCCTCCTGAATGTAACTCAGGAGCTGATTCTGCCCTGTGCCACCAGGAAGGTCCACGTGTATCACCGTTAAGTTTTTCATGGACTACCGTCAATTCCTGCTTCAGCTAATCTGTGCTCCTGAAAAGGTAATGATAAATTTGACTTTAAAAAAAATAAAAATACAGACAGTCAAGGTAGTTTCCTCTATGACTAAGAAGCTGAGAACAGATCAGATTGGAAGCATAAGCATACTGATAATACTCTTTTGAGATACTGTACATTGCAGTCCTTCAGAAGATTGAAACTTTGCTTGAAATAAAAAGTAGGTTTTGAGAATTATCAATGTTCTGCCAAAATAATCAAAGCATTAGGCACATTTCGAAAGCCAAAAGTTTCATTTCTGTTTAACAAATGGCTGCTTTCAGACCCATTTTCTTAGTTATCATGTAAAACAGAGGACTAATAAACAGAACTAGTTCTCCCCATGCACTGACAGCTTCATTAAAAGTGAACAAAGCATTTAATTATTTTTCTCTAGAGACTGGGAAAGTTTACTGTTCAAAGATTGCTGATGACCTTGGTCTGAAGTGTGGTTTCCAACCACCAACCTTTTAAAGGAAGCATTTAACATTTTGAATCATAATATGTTTTAGCAGCTAGCCTGACAGCCAGCCAACTGGGATGTCAGTGGGCTACTCTGAACTTCAGCAAATGGTCTGCTTTTGAACACAAAATATTTGCAAAAATAGCCTGCTTCAATCTGAGCAGCACATGCAGGACACACTTTTCTGATAAGGGATGTTCTTCATGAGGTGCACAAGTACAAAGATTTTTCTTGCCTTTCTTGCCTGTAAAAACACCAAAGAAGAACTGGGCTCCTTTCGAAGTGGAAATATCAGGACATAGGGCTCTAGATAGTTTTTAATGGACACCAAAGTACTGTGCAAGGTACTTTTATGAACATCTAAATTCCACTTGCAGCTGTAATAACATCATTCATGAATTCAATTCACTAAGAGACTCCTGCTAGGGACTAGAAAGCACCCTTGATATCAGACATGTCCACTGACAGATGTGAAAGCTCTGCTGCGGGCAAATTTTAGGATCTTACCTCCATATAGAACTGGTTAATGCTTCTAACTTAAAGCACACAGATAGTCCCTTGTGCATACAGCCATTTGGGTACTTAAAAATAGGCACTGGCATTTCTTTCCAGTTACTGAGTGCCCCATTATTTTATATTTTCTCTCCTGCTCTGAGAAAGTGGTGTTGGATTCTATCTGGAAGGTGCCGAATTTGAATCCTTAGCTACAATCTGGTAAACTCAGAAAAGAACGGGGAAATTACAACAGCTAACTCTGTATGTTCACAGCACAGTGAATATGCAAATTTCTGCCTTTTTTAATTGCATAACTGGTAGGACCCCAAGCAGAGGCAATCACATACACTCACCAGACTGGTTACTCTGCCTGGACTTACAGAACCAACATACATATGCTGTAACTAGAAAACTGTGCATTGACCTCCTATCACCATAGGAGTCACTGTCGGACTAAGGGATTCTAGAAACATAAAAAAAACAATTTGAAATATCATTGTAGAAAGTAAGTGTTGTTCCTTTTCCTTTGAAGGATGACCCTGAATCGTAAAAGCTAACTTCTAAGCTTGAAAGCAATGAGCAAGAGATACTGTATCTTCAGAGGGAAGGTTCTGCTGTGGAAATCACTGACCTATGTATGTGGGCACAACTTCTAATTTCTTCTAATTTGAGCAGGTTTTCTAAGCAATGTTAACTGCCAGATTTCACTGTAAATCTCATGCTGGCCCAGTCCGTAATGACAAGATCACAGTAGACAGAAATCTGTTCTACTATAGGGAACACGAAGCAGTAAAAAATTATGCCAAAGCTTTCCTCCAAAACCTTAAGTGGGAGGGAATAGCACACCATGGTAGCATTCCTTCACTCAGACAAATTACAGCATTTCACCGTTCAGTCTTCTTATCAACTAGCTGCAGATGCAACCACCAATTTCCCCTAAATATCTTGTGGGATGGATCCTCCACTGAGAGACTATCTCAAGCTTTTTGCCGAGTCTGATGATCAAACGGATCTCTCCATCTCAAGCTTCTGTGGTGCAAAATCCCATTTCACACCAATTTTCAATTATTTCAGCATGTTTAGAATTTCTCAGCTGGACTAGGATGTCCATTTATTGTTAGTGCAGAGCATTTCCCTCTGGGACAGTTGGAAGTGCGATCTAGAAACAGGTCTGGAAAGTCCCACTTGCAAAATACTAAGCACTACTTCTTTTTCGCCAAGAACAGCGACAATCACCACATGTGCCGCCTCCTCCTGTTCACACCAGTCAGCTATTACCAAGCGGACGGATTGCCACTGTCGGTCCATACAGGCCAAGCAACAGACTCAAGGATCTTTGGTAACAATTTCAGTTTCCCTTTTCTTAAAAAATTCTAGAACATGCCCGAGTGTTAATGACAAGGTTTGTAGTCCTCAACAACATACACTTGTGATACACTACCACCATCTTCATTTTGCAACAGCAAAACCTTTCTTCAACATTTTAGGTTCATACTTAATTTTCTATCCCCCTTTCCCCCCCTCCCCCTCCCCAAAAAAACCCCCAAACAACCAAACCCAAAAAAGTTTTACTTTTCAACCAAGGGAAGGTGGGGAAGACAACAGGTAAGACAGCTGGGAAGGAAACCCACTAAATCCTTCCAGAAGAAAACAGAACATGTCTACCACTCCCTTCAGACCAGAATCTGCTTGGGGATAACAAAATCCTATGTGTCAGGGTATGGATGCATCTAAAAATACAAACTGGCAGAGTTAACAGATTCCCGGATCGGTTTATCTCATATCAGGTAACTTTAAATCTCACCTCTGAATTATGACCCTGGACCTATCTTGACCACTTACTGTACAGTAACAGCAAACCAGTCAAGAGCGTCAGCCACAGATCCAAGGTGAAGGAACTGCACAGTCCAATTTTACATTGTCTTCCGCAAAAATAAAGATGCTGTATAGGTATTTCACTTGGAGTCAGGAATGTTGTAACTAAATATAGTATTCTAAAAGTTAAAATACAATTATTTTTTTTCCACTTGGGCAGACCTCCAGCCATCATCTTTCCTGGCTTCAGGTCT